TTTGCCAAAGTCCAGGGTAAGTGGCTGCAAATAAAAATTTATGGGTTGGCCCTTTAAACAGCTCTTTGCATCTCCAGCCTTCTGTCTTGGCAGAGAGCAACGCTGCTGCTTTTCTCAGCTGGCTGTTATCTGTGTACTTTTTGGGCTGTGGTGCTGTAGGCTGGAGGTCCCCACTTATGGTTTAGACCTCGCTCTTCTTAGGGGGATCAACCGGCTGTTTCAATATCCTTCTGGTGCTGCCGCCCGTGGGCACCCCGCCTGCCTTCTGGAGTCTCTACCGCACTCCTTACCAGTTAGATTGTGCTAAAGCTGATTCTTCTGTCTGTCCAAGGTTATCAGGCTCCTCTCTCATTACTGTTCAGTTGTTTTTTCCCAGTGGTTTCTCCACAATTTAGTTGTAATTCCAGGTTGGTCCTGGGAGGAAGTCAGTGTGATTTCCACTCACTCCTCTGCCATTTTGATTCTGAATTCTCTTGATGACTGGAGACCTAAGTTGTTCCAGTTTTGCCCTCTCACACACAGAGACAGTTTCACTGCGTCTCCTGAGGCATGTGTGCCAGCATTTACCTAGGGTATATGCCCACAAATAGAGCTGGAAGGTTATATAGGTTTTATGCTTCTTCAGCTCCAGTAGTTTGCCAAATTGTGTTCCAATGCCTTTGAGCCTACATACACGCCCACCAGACACAACAGGACAACTCCTATTGCCTCATATCTGTGCTTATACTTCCCGTGATCAGCCCTGTAAATGTTTTGACAGTCAAGGCTAAACAGTATGTTCTTGAGGTCTCACTGCTGACTAACTACAGTTAAGCATACTTTCATTTGCAGATTGGCAGTATTGTTATAGTATCAGTAGTAGTTGTAGTTGGTACAGAGAAGTTGTAAAAAGAGAAAAAGAGTCCCAGCTATGTTGAGGCAGTGGTGTTAGGCAGAAGTGAGAGGTACTTCTATGTACGGAAACCTCTGAGATCTGACTACAAACTGAGAATCAATAGGTTGCTCCACCTAACAGCTCTCCCTGGACAGCTAAGCTATAGAGGGGTCTAGTGGTTGGGAGACTAGGGGTGGGCTGGGGCACTGAGGGGAGATGCACAGACTCACCCACAATGACATCGCCACAAGTACAGAAACAGTGGGGAAGTGCCACACGAAGATGCAGGAGGGAGGCCCTAGACTAAAGGGCAGGACTAGGTAAGGCTAGGATGGTAACCAAGATGGGGATGAGATTGGAGGGGGGCTGGGAATGAAACTTGGAGCATGAGAGGGTCAGGCCAGTTTCCCGACCAGCAAGACTATTCATGACTCAGTTATCCCAACTCACCTGAGAGCCTCCAGAGTAATCGAAATTCTCTCCCACACGGTCAGACTGACCTTTCTGTACCTGGGAACAACCCGGATGGTTGCCTAACCCGTTGTCCTGACTCATATCCTGAGACCCTGAGGCAACAGCCCAGAAGAATAAGAAACTAACTCCTCCCTTATTCTCCCCACCCCCAACCCAGTGCTTTTTCTTTTAAAAACCCCATTCTCCCAGCCCGCCTGTAAGTGCAGCATCAAATAAAGGCACTTGGATCAAATCAGCCAGCTCCTCCTGTCTCTATCTCTCGTTCATTTCTAACAGGGTGGAAGTGGGCCTTGGAGGGTGGGAATATGTACTCGCAGGGGTAGGTTAAGGGGTGAATGGGGAGTTGGGTGGGTCAGGAGGTGGTAGTGGTGGGTCTCTAAGGTAGGAGTAAGGCTAGAGGTGACAGTGGTGTTGAGATTTAAGGATGGGGATGGAACTAGGGATAGGGCTGGGGTTAGAAATAAGGGACTAAAGCTAGGCCTGCAGACCCCTCCCCACCCATTTTTGTTAAGCCCGTTTAGATAAGTGTTATGAAAATGTAGTTTCAAGTTGACAACCTCACATCCCCTTCCAATCATACAAAATGCAGGCAGTCAGATCATTTGGAGCTGCCTCCAGAAACTAGAAAAGGAAATTAACCAGCACAGCCTATGGGCCAAGGAGAGACAGGGTGGTGTAGTGGTTAGGAACACAGCACCTGGGTTCACTCTCATTTAGGAGTCTAAGGTTTTGTTATCTGTAAAATGGAAATGATAATAGAACACACTTCATAAATTAGTGTATTTAAAGTTCTTTTAAGACTATCCAGGTATTGTAAGTACTCAGTAAACATTAGCTGTCAGGCTGTGTTACAGGAAAGATACCCTGAGGCCTCTAGAGGAGGCCAAAGAAAAGTCTTTCTCTAGTGGCAGAAAATCAAAGAGGGAGGAACATCTGGGTTCAAGGACTTGAATCCCAGCCAAAGAGCTGGATCTTGAGGAGCCAGTCACCCACAGATCTTTAAGCTGGGGCAACTTGTTGTCAGTTTCCAGGGTGAAACACCTTGTTGGCAGCCAAGCAGGAGCATAGTCCAAGGAAGTTGGGGGACATACTGGTTTGACACAGCAACGAATGGGGCAGGGACTGGGACCAGGACTGGTACTGTGTGCCCTCGCAACAGAAAGAAGAGTCTTAAACAACAAAAGTTGCCCTCCAACATATCTTGCCAGGACCTAGTACAGCTATAAAACCTAAACCTACATCCTAATCCTTTTGACATATAAACTGAAAGTATTTGTTGCCCAGTTTTAATATACACCAAATTTCTCGGGAATGCGACTACTGTGTCAATTGAGGGAAGACCGAACTTTGTGTTGCTCAAAACATTATTAAGGGGCCTTTTTTTTTTTTTTTTTTTTTTTACCATTTTGAAAAATTATGTCACCACAGCAACACACTTACAGGATATTAATCACTCAAAAAATAGCCCTGTAAATAGAGGCAAGCCTCTAATTGCTTCATTTTGTCTTGTATTGTATTTATGCCTGAGGACTGAAATACAGATCATTTTTTTTACAGGGAATGAATACACTGTACTTATATAAAGCTACCCATATTAATATTAGTAAATTTTAAAGCCAGCTTGTTGTTCTAACCTGATTTTTCTCTCAAAGCTAGAGTTTACATGTTAAAACTTTTTTTTCTAAGTATACTTTACCAGAATCAACATGTTTAATTCCTGTGCAAACCTAAGAAACAACCCTACCTCGGAATCTGGCTAAGCTGACAAAGACTAGATGACCAACTCAAGAACGCTGACCATAAAGATCCACATCAGGACCCGCAAGGCACTGCCTGCATGTCTACAACCCCTCCCCTGATCTCTTTGTTCTGCTTTTCCTCTCCTCTTTCCTCATAAAAACCTCTGCCTGCGCTAAAATGTTAAGTTATAACCATGATTTGGTATCTTCCAGCTAGTAATCAAATTATTTATTCTGTAACAAATCAAAGTATATAATCAGCCTCGTGCTTTAGTTCTGGTTGCAGTTGTAAACCACAGGTGTCCCGGGAAGGGAGGAATGATAATGCAAATTGAGAGATAACATCTGGATGAAGAGAGTAAACCTGGGCAGGAGCTGCACAACGCCCCTTTCAGCCTCCTACCCTTACTCTTCCTTCTGTCTCTCAAGAAACACTGCACATTTGCGCTCCCCCTAGGAATTTCCCTCTCCTGAGTTCCCACCAACTCCCTATAAGAATCACTGGCTTGAACAGAGATGTTAAGATGGTTTTTTGAGGATAGGAGTCCCCCACCCCCATCTTTTTGAGATGCCAGCACTTGAAAAAATCACTTCCTTCTCACCAGAACCTGTTTCACGAGTTTGGCTTTCACTGTGACAGGCAGCCAAACTCGGGTTTGGTTTCAATTTTATCCTAAATTTCTTTCCCTTTATTTCTCCAGTTTGGGCATGATGTTGATTTTTTTTTTTTTTTCAATGAATGTAGGTTAGATTTATTATCTCTGAATTCCATTTAAAGTAGCAATGGGGTGATCCAAAATATCAGTTACCAAAAAAGGGGTCTGGGTCTGAGAACACTGTGAACACTGGGCTGGCCCACCTCCTACCACCCATCTGCCACCTTGCTCAAATGTAAGCCCCGAAGCCCAGAAAGAGCAAGAGTCCTTCTCACTTCACCCAGCTTGTCAGGGGAGAGCCCAGCCCACGGCCACAGTGAACACTGAAAGCAGTGGCTTTGCAGCCACCTCACTTTGGGACAGCACGTTTACAGATCTGAGGGCCCAGGCCATTTCTCCTTGCACAAAGTCATCTGTTTTATGGAAAATGAAGAGTTTCATGTATTGATTTACTACTCATGCAAATGCATGTCAGGCACACTGAGGAACATCAAGAAGGGCAGTGTGCCTGGAACAGAAGAAACTAGCGAGAAGCCTAAGAGATCAGGCAGTGGGGCTGATGCATGTCCCATGGGTCTTGCAGGTCGGTGAGATTCACAGAGTGTAAGATAGGGAACCACAGAAGAGGTGGGAGAGGAGTGACCTGCTGTTCAAGGTCTGTTTTTTTTTCCCTAGAATGTGAACGACAAGAGGGCAGGGGCAGCCCTGACAAATGTGGCTCAGTTGGAAAAGTCACTGGTTCAATTCTGGGTCAGGATACATGCCTGAGTTGCAGTTGGGTCCCTAGTATGGGCGTGTATGAGAGGCAACCGATTGATGTCTCTCACATGATATTTCTCTCCCTCTCTCTCCCCCTCTATTCCCCTCACTCTAAAAATAAATACATAAGATCATTTTTAAAAATTAATAAATAAGAGGGCGGGAAATTTGCTTGCCCTGGAAGAGCACCAGGCCTTTGGTAACATTCAGTAAATATCTGAACAAGTGAATGGAAGAATGAATAAATTAATGAAAAGACAGGATGATATCATTAATAATTGTGACTCTGACTCTTTCAGGATCCTCCCTTCTACATTGGTGTTTAAGACCCGCCCTGCCTCTCATCCTTCGGGCTGCTCCCACGCCAGCCGTTGGGCTGCGGCCAGAGCGAAGTGGCGGACTTTGTGGCACGGAGGACTTTGCAGGAGGCACCGCGTGAGGCGGGGCCTGAGGCAGGGCGGTGCTTGGCTAGGCAGGCCTACCCGCGGGCGGGCGGGCGGAACGCGGCAGAGCGGCTGAGGCTGTGCAGCCACCACCGGAGCCGTTTGGGCAGCACACGGGGCGAAGATGGCGGCCGAGAGGCAGGAGGCGCTGAGGGAGTTCGTGGCCGTGACGGGTACCGAGGAAGACCGGGCTCGCTTCTTCCTTGAGTCGGCCGGCTGGGACCTGCAGGTAATGTCACGAGGCAGGCGGCGTCGGGCAGGCTGGGGTGCAGGGCGCGGGCACCTGGCGCGTCAAGCCCGTGGTGGCCGAAGCGCACAGTCATCCCGCCGGGCCGCAGCCCGACACAGGCCCCAGGCGCCTGTGCCCGCTTTCTACGCTTCGCCAGTTCGGCTTGGTCGTGGGAAAACGCGGGCCAGCCCCAGCCCCGACCTGTTCTGCTTGGCCTCAGTTTCCCCTTCTTCCTCTCCGGTTCGCTGGGCCCGCGAGACTTTGGGCACTGCAACAACTCGCGTGGAGTGGGGGAGCTGGGGGCGTGGCAGCCTGGCCGTCTGGGATGGAGGCTGGGCCGGAGTGGAGCGGCGCTGGTGACGAGTGGTCGTTTATTTTCATTTTTGTAGCCCGACCACTGGTGGAGGGAGAACCCCGGCCAAGGATTTGGCCCACGCCCCCTCCTATCTCATTGCTGGGAGAACTGCTTCTGGGGTGGTGTCGCCTATTTAGCTTTCTTAGTTACCTGATCTGTAAAATGGGGGTCTCGTTGAGATTATCGTCTAGTTCACAGGCACGTATTATATATCCATAAGTACTTATTAAGACATTAAGATGAGCCACACGAGGCATGGGTTTTTGTAAACTGTTTCATCGCCTTCGCCTAGAACAGCACCAGTCACGCAGTAGGTATTCAGTAATTGTAGAAAGGATTGAGGAAATGCTCCCGGCCAGCTTACATTTTAGAGGATGATTAACGTTTTTGAGCACATACCATGAGCCAGATGCTATCTAGCAGCATTACGTGTCTTAAGTCATTCTGCAGCCCATGTTTAGGGAGGTTAAGTTACTTGCTCGAGGCCTCGCCACATACCAGGTGAAGTGATAACGTTAGAACAGTGGTGTCTGATTCCAAAGCCCAAACTCTTAACCACTATATACCTGGCACTTTACATATGATGGTTCGTTTAATCCTAGCAACACTGAGGTAAAGACCAGTCTCATTGTATATATGAGAACTCAAAGCTCAGAGGGTAAGTGATATGTCTAAGGCAACACAGCCAGTAAGTGGTGAGGTTGGGATTTGAAGTGGGTCTGCTGACTTCATCATTTAAATTGCTTCCCCAAAGAGATAAATCATTACACCTCTGTAGTCACACAGTGTGAATGAAGCCCTTGTGCAGGGCAGAAATACAAAATGCAGCTTCTGCCTGGAAGTATTACATTTGGTAGGTCATCAGTCCCAGTCTTCTCATGCTGTAGGTGGGGAAACTGGCTCATGCATGTGACATGACTTGCCTGACAGGGCTAGGACTTAAATGTAGGCACCTCTCAGTACCATCCTAGTGCATATCCCATGATAGCACACTTTCTCCCAGTAGGCCTATTACGTCCAGCAAAAGCACACTATTTCTAATAGGCTGATTTACGTCCCGTAACAGCTCACTGCCTGCCATAAGGCTGGTGACCTTCAGGACAAGAGCCATGTTTTTTTCATCTCTGTAGACCTCAGTGCTCTTATTTCTTTGTGCAATGTAAGTGATTAGTAAATACTTACCTGTTGACCTGATAAGAGAAACATACAATCTCAAATGGCCAAAAGACTTGCATATTCCTTGCGCATAGAGCTAAGACATGGCTATGCATAAACACTAATGAATCCTCTCATCCATAGTGCAGGCTTGCTGTCCTCATTTCAGAGATTAGGAAACTGGACCTCAAAGAGAAAGCAGAAGTAGCAATCTGGACTGGCCTCACAGTTCCTGACTCCTGGCTATCACAGGAGTTGAGAATAAGGACCTGAACACACTGTCCGGGATGGGAGCTGGCTCTGCTCCTAACCAACTGTGTGACCTTGGGCTATTTTTCTTAATGTCTCAGTACTTCTGTATCAACTATAAAATGAGAAGATAATAGTATTAATTACATAGGGTTCTTTGAGGATGAAATAAGTTAACACACGTCAGTTACACTCAGTGTGGCACATAAATAAATGCTCGATAAATGTACACTGCTTTTACTTGATCACATTTTTTAATAAAATGAGAATGAGGGATGCCTTCGTCCCACCCTTCTTGCTATTTTTCCCCCGTAGTATGTGGAATTTGTTTCAGGCAACATGAAGACTAATGGTCTAATTTTCTATGGCCTCCAGATTCATACCTACTTATAAGTGTGGACCATATCTTTATGTCTTTGCTCATTTGTACTCACAGGAGATATATGTCAGATGAAGGCCTATTTAAGGATCCCAAGTTACTACCTCTCTGTTTCAGATCGCCCTGGCGAGCTTTTATGAGGATGGAGGCGATGAAGATATTGTGACCATTTCGCAGGCAACCCCCAGTTCAGTGTCCAGAGGCACAGCCCCCAGGTAAGAGCCAGTTTCAGTTATTGCTATATGGGTGTGCTTCCAGCAGTGAAGAGGAACTGTTTTCTAACTTGATGGAGGCTTCAGGCCCAGGGATATGAGCCAGTGAGTTTGAGTGAAAAAGCTAGACTGACTGGTGGGTTGTAGCTCCTTGTCCAGAAAGAAAATGCTGACACTAATCGCCAAAGCCAGGTTTGTGCTAGCACCTTAGATGAAGTCTGTGTGGAGGCTGCCTTCCCCCAATCCAACCCTGTTTGACCTGACTGTTCCTTTCCTATAGAGATACGTGTAACACACTGAGGTGGCGACTCTTTATGTGAGTGTGATTTATGGTCTAATCCTGGGGGAAACCACACAATCTACTTTTAAGGTGTTCAATCTTTTATATAGGAAATATTAGCAGTGACCTCTCCATCTCTGTAGGTTTTCAGTAGAACTAAAGGACTTCCACAGGGGTGCTATAGGTGTAGAAGATTAGACTTTAGAAAGTAGTTTTGTTTTTGATATTTTAGGATGCTCATTACCCTATTAAGAAGTCTTAGAGAAAATAAACCAATGTAACCTACCCTTTCCCAAATTGATTATGGAGACCTTATCTTACTAGGTGAACTGCTGTTAACCTTTATAATCCTATTTCCATCCCAAGTCCCAGCTCCCTTGGCTCCAAGGTTCCTAGGGCAGATCACTGTGGTGACCTGCAGGGTGAGACAGTGCTGCTCTTGCAGGAGAGAGGCAAGGCCTCTTACAAGTGCCTGAGCTGCAGCTTCTCTCTACTTTAGCTTAATTTGCTTCTATTCTCTGCAATATGTTTTTACCAGAAAAAATTTATTTGGGTTTGAATTCAACCCTCGAATATAGATAACAGTGTTTCTTTGCCAGCAGGGTTGTGAATTGTGTTTCTGAGCCTTAAATTACATTTCCTCCTCTTAAAGGAACATTAACCTCAGATCTCATTGCTTCTTTAACTTCTTTCCCTACCTCTCACTTCCAGCGGAAAGAGGTTGCTGGCAACTCATCTTTTCATTACTCATAGGTGCTAACCTGTGAGATGCCCTTAACCCTGCGGAGGTCGCGACTGATCTGAGAGAGAAAAGCCCTTAAATATTGTTACATATATCGGGTGCATAGGTTCAAGGTCATGACTAGCTGCAGTAACCTTTAAGCTGTCAATTCAGTTATAACTCATGTTTCGTAAGTGTGTATGATACTCAATAGTAAACTGTATCTGAGAGATACTGCAAACTCCAAAGGCAGTATTGGTGTAGCTCTTTTTGTTTTTGTTTTTGTATTCCCCCGAACTTGGAAGTCAGTGTTGTGTTGTTTTTTTTTTCATTTACCATTGAAAATTGCTGGAAAAATATGTCAATTCAATAATCCAAGAGATGTTGAAGAACTTCAGTGAATGCTACTAGAGTCCGGTGATCAGGATGATAGAGTCCAGTAAGAAAATGAAAGTGATTTAGAAGATGAAGATTATATTGAAGTTCATTCAGAAGATTCAGATACCAAGCAAGATATTTCTAGTGAAAAAAGTGAAGATGAATGTGACACGAATGAAGAGTATTTTTTTGGAAAGGATAAAGACTCAAAATGGAAGAAAAATCCAATAAGAAGACAAATTAGAAAACAGCCACAGAATACATTGGGTCAGCTTCCGTTAGTTTGGCCAAACACAGAATATGCCAGGACAGAACTTGAAACTTGGAACTGGTTTATCACAAATGATATTTTAGATCTAATCTTATTATATACAAATAAATACATCGATTCTATCTTGAACTGGTTTTAAGGAGAAAGAGATGCCAAATGAATAGACAAAACCAAACTGAAAGCATTTTTAGGCTTCTTGTATCTAGCTGGTTTTCATTGCAACAATCAGCTAAATTTGTAGGATTTGTGGGCTACAGGCAGTAGTGGGGTTGAACTTTTTAGACTTACAATATCTTTACAGAGATTTAGATTTATTCATAATAGTATTGGGTTTGATGACAAACTTACCTGCTTAGAATGCCTGATAGGGGACAAATTAGCAGCTGATAGAGACATTTTCTCAGCATTTGTAGAAAATTATAAATTATGTTACTCTATGGGACAGAATGTAACAATAGACAAAATGTTACCTGGATTTAGAGGCAGGTGTGAGTTTAGACTTTATATTCCATCCCAAACCCAGTAAAGGTGGTATAAAAATTTTTGCTGTGGTCAATTCAAAAGTATTTTACATAGGAAATCTTGAAATATATGTCGGTAAGCAGCCTGAAAGTCCTTATTTGATTAGCAATAAACCAGCAGGCATAATCAAGCGACTCACAGAATCCATTTACGCATCAGGCTGTAATATTACAGCAGATAACTGGTTCACTGATACAAATCTTATCTCCAACTTGAAAAAGCAGCAACTTTCATATGTAGGCACTGTTCATAAGAATAAACCCCAACTACCCCTGAATGTGTATCTTCTAAAAACAGGCCTGAAAAATCCAATTTAACTTGCTCTTGGTACAGATTGCACACCTGTGTCTCTCATATACCCAAAAAAGGGGAAAAACTCAATTTTAGTTTCAAGTATGCGTCTTGATGATGCCATAAATTTAGATTTGCAAAAGCATGACATAATAGAATGTTATAACCAAATGAAGTCAGGAGTTGACACTGTGGACCAAATGGTATATACATATAATATGACCAGAAACACCAGGAGCTGGCCTGTGGTTATATTCTACACAGTTTTGAATATTGCAGGAATAAATGTTCAGACTTCATATGCTGAACAGCAATGTGAAAATAAGGAGTAGAATATTAGAAATCTCGTGATGCAGTTAGTGTTAGAACAAATAAAAAGGGGGCCAGACATCTCTACAGGTGTACATAAGCCTTTACACCTGAAACTTCATCAATTTCAAACACAAATTGAAGAAAATTCTAACAACATAGATATGGCTCCATTGACACGCAGAAAAAGAAAAAGATGTGTTAGGTGCTATACATCCAAAACAAGCTGCTTATCAAAGTATTTTTGCAAGTGTGAAAAGTGTTTATGCCTTCAGCATAACAATGTTGTTTGTGATGACTATTACAAACATTTTGGAAAGCCAACTATGGAAGATTATGATTAATGAATGTTCAAGACGTTTTTTGGTTGTATTTTTTAGCAATACCTATGTTTCCATTATTTGAAAAGAAAAATTTTTTAATCTTTATGTTTTTATATTTCTTTGTTTAGTAATTTCTAGATTGTGACTGAAAAAAAATCATGTATTTTATTACATGACTATAATTGCAAATTTGCAGCATTTTAAATTTTTTTTCATATTTCAGCACATACTAGTAACGTATCTCTCGACCTACAATAATTTTGTCGCTCACAAGCTCCGCAGGGTCAATGGCACATGAGGATGTCACTGCCTGGGACATGGCTATTAGGATAAGGGCTCTTCTTGCAGCTGCTCGTTTCTGGGGTGTGAGTCTTTCATAGCCGCCCTAGTTTACTGCTGGGGTGTTGGCATGTCAGAAATACAGAGCGGGAGAAGTTGAAACTTAGCTTATGATGTCAGTCACATATTCACACATCTCTAGTAGTCCCCAAGGCCTATTAAGGGAGTGGTTTAATAGAGCATGGCCCTAGGAGCCTGACTACCTAGGTTCGAATCCCAGCCCTGTTGCTGTGGATATTTGTGACCTTGAACAGGTTATTTAACATCTCAGTCCCTCAGTTTTTTTTCATTTGTCAAATGGGAGTGGTAGTAGTGCCTACCAGATAGGAGAGTAAATGAGTTAATACTTACAAAGCACTTTGAACACAGTCAATGTTAGCTACCTATCGTTGTCATTTTATTAATATTAGCATCCATCCTCACCTTCCCAATCTTTCTGTGTTCCCTGTCTCATTTTGCAAGTATACATATTTAAAAAGAGACAAAAGAATCAAGGAAATAGAGTTTAATGTTAAGACTGGGGGGAATAAAAGACTAATACATGCAAACCTGAAGGCCTTGCTTTATTACTTTGATTAAGCCTCAGACTTGGCACGGAGGGAGAGGGAGGACACAGTTTGTTGCATTGTTGTCCTTGTCCAGAAGGAAAACACCAAGTACATTCTCAGAAGCCAGGCTTGTGCTAGCACGTCAAAGGAATTCTGTGTGTGGCCTCCTTCCTCACCCCCAGTCCTGTGTGACCTGACTGAGGACACGTGCCCTCCTCCAGGTCTCTGTCTATCCACTGTCGTCTTCTCATATCTTTCATGTCGTCACTGCTACCATGACCAACATTTAGCAAGTTATTCCTTTGACCCTAGAACAGAGGTTCTTAATGTAGAGGCCCTGAACCTTTTGGAGAAATCTGGAATGAATGTGAGACAGTTAATAAATTACCTGAAAGTGTAGACAGAAATTTGTATGTTGTATCTTTCTGGCAAGGAAATCCATAGCAGTTTCAGATTCTCAAAGGTCTGTGGGACAGCAAAAAGTTTAGTCATTGCTACAGGAGAAAGTCTAAACTCAATAGTAACAGCTGTCATTTGTTGAGCACGTAGCAAGTGCCAGGTACTGGGTTAAGTCCTTACATATGTATTTCTTTAGTCCTCACTACAACCCTACAAGGTAAGTACTGTTACTATTCCCATTTTACAGGTGAAAACACTGAAGCTGGGCATCTTCCCAAGATCTCACAGCTCATAAAATAAGGATTCAAATGCAGATCTGTTTCTGCTTCCAGCATTCAGCAGAATGAAGTACTGCCGCCTCTTGTGGGCATCAGGGTCCTCCAGAGTTTGCCATGAACCTACCCTCCTAATCTTAACCCCTTTTTCTCATTTCTTAAATCTTTATTTTACCCAGACTGATTAATTTGGTGTCTTATTTTTGCCTTATATTTGGTTCTTCTGTTTTTTGTTTGGTTTTTTTTTTTTTCAGCCTCTCACCAGATTGGGCATGCACCCTCCTTTGCTTTTGCCTGTCCAAATCTCATGCCTCTTTCTGGGTTTAGCTTCATTTCTACCTTCCCTATTGAGCATGTTATCCTAGCCCATAGGCAGCATGCCACAGACTTGTGCTTCAGCACTCTAGTCACAACTATAATTCATTCACTTCTTTGATTCATATCCTCCTTGTATTGCTTGCTGACATCTCTACTATGTTGTTCGAACTCTTCTCCTGCCATTTAACTTAATATTTTCTCCCTAAGTAAATTGTAAGTTCCTGGAAGTGGGAGGGCTAGAATTTCAGGAGCACTCACATCTACAGTTCTGCCAGATATTCTTACCTATGTTCTCTACTTAGATATCAATAGCTGTGGAAGTAGGTATGGTGCTCACCATTTCACAGGTCAAGATGCTGCATCTTAGAGAGGTTGAGTACGCTGTTACGCCAGATTCAAACCCAAGTCTGTCCAAATCCAAAGCTACTTATACCTTCCTGTTCTGTACCTCTTACTCCTATACCTAGCACAGGGTCAACCAAGTGGTAACAGTTAGTTGTTTTTCTTTTTTTTCCTTTCAGCTAACAAAACTATACTTTTTGAGAATTTCAGGGACTGCCATTTTCTGATTCTCTAAAACTATACTGTCCAATATGGTAGCCACTAGTCCCATGGGTCTGTTTAAATTATTTAAAATTAATTATTTTCACTTAACCACATTTCAAGGCTCAGTAGCCCCATGTAACTAATGGTTTCTATATTGGACAGTTCGCACCACAAAAAGTGTGATCTGACAAAGAACTTTTGTGCCAGTTCACGATGCCAGGGTAGCCTGGAAGATAGAGTTTTGATGCTGAAAAATTAAGATTTCTGACGCATTTTGCCAATTTGTGGAGGACTTGGACAAAATATTCTGAAATTGGCAACATCCTCAAGACATCCTTACCATTAAGGCAACTCTCGGAGCCGTGGTTCTCAAACTTGAGCATGCCTCAGAATTACTTGGAGGGTCCCTCAAAAGCAGATTGCTAGGCCTTCCTCCAGAGTTTCTGTTTGAAGAGGTAGTCTTAAGGTGGGGCCTGAGGATTTGCATTTCTCACAGTTTCACAGGTAATAAGGATGCGCCAGTCCAAGGACCAACACTTTGAGAACCACTGCTCAAGAGCAGTACTTGAAATGCGCTACAACATTCATCACTGCCCCGACTGTTCACAGAAAGTTTAAGAGGTTGGTGCTGTGATTGACTCCATTTTCACATGAGAAAACGAAGGCTTAGAAACTTCATTAGCATGCCTAAGATCCCAGGGTGGGTGGCTAAGTTGGAATCGGACCCAGGTATGTGGACACTGTAGTCCCTGTTAGGTACTCCGCAGAGTCTAGGTGTAAGAACGTTAGGGAAAAGAATCAATCCCATAGCCAGGGCAGTTGGCTTGCTCAGGTGTTACACATGTGTATTTGAAGGTGTTTAACAACAGAGAGACAGGATATTTATTTTTTTGAACAGTGTCCTATAGCGCATCAAGGGATGCCCCGGAGGTTGCTCTTAGCTAACTCACACAGGGGATGTATTTGCCTCATCAGTTGGTCTTTGTCCTCCCATTTCTAGTTGATGGGACATCAAAGCCTGCTTCTTCCCCTGCTTTTCTCCTTGAAATCAATCTTCAAGACTGAACTGGAGCTTTCTTCCTAGTAAACAACGAGTCCTTTTTTGTGTGGCCTCACTAAATCTGTATTACCCTCTTACCCCCATGTCATAGGAAAGCTACTGTTTTCTCCTAAGAAATACAGAAAATGTTTTTATAAAAATGTGTGTCTTGTGATCCTTGAAAACTAAGATTGTTCCCTGGGGACAAATCTAAACTAGAAAAAAAGGGTCAGTGTAAGACAATGTCAAAGGAGGGAAGTTAACCCTTCTGACACTGATTATTAGTGCGCCCGCCCTACCACACCCCAGACAACTCTGCCTTTTTTCTAAACACTGATAAATACTTCTTGACTAAACTGCAATAGAAGCAAGCAGAGGCTTCCTTGCCCACATATTCATTTCATTTCTGCATCTTGACCACTTGTCCTTCCTCTAATGTGTTACTCTTGATGATCTCTGTGTATGTGCGTATGCTGCTTTCCCATAGTGCCCTGTTGATACCAGCCCCAGTATCCGCATCCAACTGAATGACAGCCTACCTGTTCTTCAGCGTGAAGTCCAAATGTTGCATTTTTCTGGGGAACCTTTCTTGATGGTCCCCTTCTCCCACTCAGAGCATGGCTCTATGCTCATATATCCCGTGTGTTTCCCTCTGTCATAACCCTGTTGCACAGTATTTAATGATGGTTTCCTGGCCAAAGTGCCTGTAAGAATTCTCAATGGTAAGAACTGTGTATGTTCATCTGTACAGACCTACCATTTAGGTCAGTCCCTAGCAAGGCATTCCCTCAGTATTTAAAAATTAATTAATTATAATAGCTATTCATTAGTAAGTTTTTTAAATATTTGGTTGGCCAAAAAGTCTGTTTTTTGTGGGGTTTTTTTCTGTAACATGGCTCTAGCAGTGCTTACCTAGTTGTTTTTAACTTCATTTGAAACAATTTTGGTAGATTGTACTGTGACAGCTGTCATCAGCATGCATTTAAAAAGAAAAACTGAAAAAAATTTGAATTTTTGTATAGCCATTTTAATATTGGAGATGGAAGAAAATGCACGATACTGTTGGCACGTTATGCTTTATTATTTCAAGAAAGGTAAAAACACAACTGAAATGCAATAAGAGATTTGTGCAGTGTATGGAGAAGGTGTTGTGACCGATCGTATCAAAAGTGGTTTGCAAAGTATCATGCTGGAGATTTCTCCCTGGACAATACTCCACAGTCAGGTAGACCAGTTGAAGTTGATAGCAATCAAATCAATACAGTAGTTGAGAACAATCAATGTTATACCACATGGGAGATAGCCAGCGTACTCAAAATACCTAAATCCATGAAGTTTATTGGTGAAAATGAAAAATGTGCCTTTTATTTTATGGAAAAAAAACTAAATGGACTTTTTGGCCAATCCAGTAGTAGAGACCTGCATCTCATTCCCCCCTTTTCTAATTTATTCTCAGTCCTATGCAACCTTGAAGAGTTGAAAAAGTTTTACATAAAAACTTAAGAGTTTAACCTCCTTCCATGAAGATCTTTATGCCCCACCAAAAAAATCTGGCCCCAGTATCCTTAACTCCCTAAGACTGGTGATGGTTGTTACCTTTCTTGAACTCCCCTAAGATCATTTTGCTCTTTTCTGTGTCTCCAGCGATAATAGGGTAACATCCTTCAAAGACCTCATTCATGACCAAGACGAGGATGAGGATGAGGAAGAGGGCCAGAGGTGAGTCTTTTATGAGGCACAGAAAAGTCCTTGAAGATGTGTAAATCACGGTAATGTGTGGATCATTTAGAAGGGTAAATGTAGTTGATTATCATTACCATTACTACTGTGGACTAGTCACACACATACTAGAAGCAGTCTCCTCCCCCGACTCAGAGATCGCTTAGAAGTAATCCCTGTCCCGTTACTACTGCTTTCGTTTTCGTGTAGTCTGGGTTTGTTTTTTGTTTTTAATTATCAAATAATATGTATTTATAGAAGAATATTATGGGAAGGGAAACAAATCAATACGAAAGAAAAAAATCATTTATAATACCCCAACCCAGAGGTAACCAGGTATCATTATTTTTTATGTATTTTATTCCAGTGTTTTCTTTTTAATTAAAAAAGCAATGCATCACATAATAAACAATAAAAGGCTTGTAAGTGTATATTGCCCCACTTTTTGTATTTAACTTTTAGGAATATTATAATGAAATTAATGTTCATTGTGGAAAATACAGAATAGTATAATGAAAAAATATAACACTCATCTACCATTTGGTAACTACATTAATATTTTGGCATATTTCCACTCAGTCTTGGTCATAAATATAATTTGTTTTATGTTGTATTATACATGGTGATGGTCAGATAATTTTGTTTTTTGCTTTTGTTGGGTTACTGCTATATCTTAAACGTTTCTTGTAATTAAAATACTTTGTAAGTGTTTTCAATGACTAATAAGCCACCATACGAGATGTCCGACATTTAGATTGTTTCAGCGTCTACCATTGTAAATGGCAGTGCAGTGAACATCTCTGTTAATCTTTGACTACGTTTCAGATTATTTTCTTAGAATAGTTTCTAGAAATGAAAATAGCAGGTCAAGGGCATGAATATTTTTAAGGTAATTGATCACAGGCTCCTAGTTTGTAAAGCAAGGCTTGGAGGTCGCTTAATACAGACCTTATAGTCCGTTGAGCAGAACTTCATCTCCCTGGAATGAGCAAGAATGAATGGCTGCAGGGTCATTTCATGGGTTTTGCTTCCGTGTGGACTCTGCCTGGGTCTGTCAAACATCCCTAAGGAATACTGTATAATAGCCATTATGGAGATGCAGTTAGCTCATCATGGTCATTCTTTGGGAGGTGGGCTGAGATATTATGTATGTTCTTTTCTCTGATTTAATCTGTATACACTTCACATCACCTCAGAGCCTTCTTAGATACACTCAAGGTTCAGAAATAAATGTTAATTTTAGGGTTTTATACTCCTGGAGTGACAGGCAGTGTCATCAAATATGTGAGTGCCCAGCTCCTAAATGACCTCCTCCTCATCCTTCTCCTCCTCCCATCATGTCACATCTTCCAGGCATCAGTCTTGGCCACTCAGCATTTCAGACCTGACGGCACTGGTGATGTCGGTCTTGTCTTGCATTCTCTAGGCAATGTGAGGAAAGAAAAGACTGAGGCTAATTTTTATAGGTTCTTAAATCCCCCCACCCAGAGACATGCTGTTGACTTAGCTGTGAATACAAGTAATAAGGAAGCAGCTAGTCAGGCTATGTGACTCTTGGTTTTCAGACCCAGGTAAATCTCAAGCCACGCTTGGCCCATTGCAAAGCTCCATGTGGGTGTCTTGAGGCTTGTTTTGAGCATCTCTGACCTTTTCCAGCACCCTCTCCTCAGTGTCCCCAGTGTATGTCACAAGAATAACAAGGTGAGGTAAGGCTTGGGTGAGCTCTTGGTATCATACCACCTTACATGTGTGCATTACTCTGTGCTTGTTCTTTTGCATACATCTGCTGATTTGAACCTCACGGCCCTGACTTAAGGAGCAGGTAGGTAGGGCATGTGGTTCTTCCCTCGCATTTCAGAGATAAAGAAAGTAAGATACAGGGCAATGCACTGGCTTGCCCAGTGTCACTCAGCAGCAGAGCCAACACTGGAACCTTGCTGCCTGTACTAACCATGCCACTGTCACCATTAACCCAGAGCTGCTAGCAGTAGCTGCTTCTGAATGTGACTGTAGTTGCTATGTCCTAGAGAGGTGCTGGCCACTGGATGGATAATTGCCAGTTGGGACTCTGGAGCTGACGTGCTATCATGCATGCCTGGAATGCCCTTCCCTGATTTCTTCACCTGTTAAACTCATCCTCAAGACCCAGCTCAGAAGATACTCTTTTTAGGAAGCCTTGACTGTCCTCCCCGGCTCAGTGTCCCCAGAGTACCCCTTATACTGACCTCTGTTGCTGCTCACACTGCATTATGCCTGCCTGCCTCCTTACATATGTCCCCAATTAGACAGTAAGTTCCCTAAAGATGGGCATACTACCCTTCACTCAGTGTGCCCAGCACCTAGCCTAAAACCTGGCACATTTGTCGTTTCCAAGTGCGTTTGGTGTTAGATGTGCATTTTCTGCACAGGTTTTATGCCGGAGGCTCAGAGAGAAGTGGACAACAGATTGTTGGCCCTCCCAGGAAGAAAAGTCCCAACGAGCTGGTGGACGATCTATTTAAAGGTGCCAAGGAACACGGAGCCGTAGCTGTGGAACGAGTGACCAAGAGCCCTGGAGAGACCAGTAAACCAAGAGTGAGCATAGAGGGTCATCGTCTCTGTCCACAGGACTTAGGTTCCAGAGCGGGAGAAGGGGGCCTCCTCACCCCAGTGGTGACTGGATTTTTGTTTTATTTTTCATTTACTCACTCACTCTTATGCACAGAAGGGCAGCACAGTTGCTCCTACGCCTTAACACGAAATCAAGATTTGGGGCAGTGTTTTCAAACCAGTAGCCTGCATGAGGTTCTGCACATGTTTTATGTGGCCTATCCAATTTGACTTGTGTTTTGCTTTATTTTGTTTTAATTGAATGAATAACCACCTGTTTTACATAAAACCTGGATTCCTGTCTCTTTGGGAAAATCCAAAATTTTTCATTGCTATCCTCTACATAGATTTCTATCTGGCCATGATGAATAGAGCTAGGAGCAACTGTTCTCTTTAGCTAAGCAGCATCCCCTTCTTCCAGTTCTTGCCCAAATCCTGGCCACTTCATGGCCAGGCCTGTAGCTGGCACTGCAGTTCTGCTTGGGCCTGTAGCTCAGACTTTGACACCCAGAGAAAGCATATCTAGTAGTTAACAAGCTTTCAATACATCATTGTATCTGAGTAACCCCAACACCATTGACCCACTCCTCAAGTGTTTATGAATTTGTCTTTTATAGCCATTTGCAGGGGGTGGCTACCGCCTTGGGGCAGCACCAGAGGAAGAGTCTGCGTACGTGGCAGGAGAAAGGAGACGGCATTCCGGTCAAGATGTGAGTGTGCATCCACCTTCTTTAGTGAGGGATGCTTGTGAACTGTGCTGCCATTTTCAGAAGGGATTTGTCGCATCTATGCATGAACTAGCAGCCTCTGAAGGGGAAGAAACAGTGCCCTTGCTGTGGTCCACGTACAGAGAGGCTTAACCTGAGAATGAAAGGTAGCTCTCATCTGGTTGGGCAGAGGAGAGGGACAGATGAAGGAGTTTGCTGGCACTCCATGGATTTCAGGCAGGGGAACAGTGTATCCAGGGTTCTCTGGTGGGATAAGCACAGCTAGAGAGGTCAGTCCCCAGACCATCCAAAGAGGGCAGAAATGCAAGTTTTTAAAAAATTTTTCTTGCTATAATCTGGTCCTCTTGTCCTTGTACATAAGGGTCCCCCCTCCAGTAAGTAATCATACTATATAAACAACTTTGAGGTTGTTTTAATTTCATGTTAATGCCATAAACTTTTTCATATAGCTTTGTGACCATTAGGTCCCATAATATATTTTTTTTAACGATTTTGGGTTTTATTCCAAAATAAAGTGAAGGAAGAAGAAAATAGAAATTCTATCCACCTGAGGCAGCAGCTGCTCATATGTTGGTTTTTAGCCTTCTAGGCCCTTTTCTGTGAATATGTCAGGTATTTTTAATGACTGCAAACTAGTCTGTGAATAATGTAGATTAGCACAAGCTATGTGCCAAGCACACTGGCAGCCCTACAGACGAATCCACAGTTTTGATTGAGTCACCCGTTCAGAGCCACCGAGCTAGCAATTGGCAAAATAAAGGCACAGACATAGGTCTGCTTAAATCAAAGCCCATTCTCTTAACCTGTGCCATATTATCTTATTTTAGGTTAATGTTTACTTGATTGGTTGATTTTCTTGCACATGCATTTATTTGTCTTTCTGTTTTAATAATGGCACAGTAAAATAGTAAAAACCTGCTAACTTGCAGGTTCACAGTGGTGTGCTTGCCAGGTTGCTGGTAGTGTATGGACTGCTTACCTCCTGTTGTCACAGGTTCATGTAGTGTTGAAGCTCTGGAAGAGTGGATTCAGCCTGGACAATGGCGAACTCAGAAGCTACCAAGACCCATCTAATGCCCAGTTTCTGGAGTCCATCCGCAGAGGGTGAGCAGAAAAACGTTCCTCCAGGTTCCATGTCAGTGAGAGGAAAAGAAGAGTCTGATCCAACTGTTTAAGAAGTAAACATTTGTAAGCAGATTTAGCACAGTGGAAGTACAGATTCACAGATCTGTGCCAAAAACCTTCTGTGTCTGTTTTTCTCCTTTGGGCCTTGAGCAGAGCCAAGTGACCAAATAAATATAGGTCTCTATTGTGCCTTTGAGCAGACGAGAGAAGGGGAGGCAAGACAAGTAGTCAGTAGAGTGGCCAGCTTTCTGTAGAGGCCCATTGATTTTCACAATTGGAATTGAAAAGTTTATTCTTCTACCAATCACTCTCACTCCCGTCCTGCTCTGTGTGAGTCCCAGCGTTGCCTTTTCTCCACAGGGAGGTGCCAGCAGAGCTGCGGAGGTTAGCTCACGGTGGGCAGGTGAATTTGGACATGGAGGACCATCGAGACGAGGAATTTGTGAAGCCCAAAGGAGCCTTCAAAGCCTTCACTGGCGAGGGTCAGAAACTGGGCAGGTAAAGAGCAGCACGGGTGAGAGGGGAGCTGCCTGCCGGGCTCAGCAAACTCTGCATATTGCTCACTTTGTCTAAATCTTTACAGAGTACTTCACATTTTATTTTTATAGGAGGGAGAGTATGGAGAATGCAGGCTTTGACATTAATCTTCTTTGCTTTCTAGCCACTTGACCTTAGACTGTCTAGTCTCAGTTTGCCCAGCTATAAAATGGGACTAACAAGAGTCCTAAATCTCCTTGATTATTATTGCGTGAAGAACATGCAGCGCTGCCCCACAATGAGCAGCCGGTATAAGCAGCAAGGGTAGCACATCGTTGCTTTGACTCTAATTAAGGGTGTTCATGGCAGGGGTAACCTTGGTGGCTTAAGGCTGGAACAGATACACATGTTCAGGACTCCCAGACTCTCCCTCCCAGAAAGCTCTGCGGCAGCATTGTTCGGGATCCAGCTCATTGTTGCCCAGTGCAGGCTGCCGGCCCACCATTATGGTAGCTCTTACTTCTGTGGCTCTTTCTGACATTCACTATGTCACTTCCTGTGACTTTTTCTGCCTTTATCCTCTGCCATGGCCTCCATCTTACATTCAAACCCCTGATAGGATCTTAGTAATTAATAGTCACTATTACCTCTGATAGGTAGAATTCTCCCACTAGACCCTTGACCGACCCATAGGCAGGCTTCCTTCTCTCAGCAGCCCACTCACTTTTGGGCCATGGTCATGGGAATCACTTGACCAATATTCTTCAGAGGGAACAGAGTGCACATGAGGGGCACTCAGAGCATATTACTGTCCTTATCTTACAAAGGGAAAGCTGAGGCTCTTGGACTTTAGGCGTTGCCCTTGGGTACATGACTGGTATGTGGTGGAGACAGGACTGGAATGCTGGCCTTCTGATGGGCATTCTTTCCCATGCTCCTATACAACAAGATACTCTCTCCGACCTAGATCTGGTCTTGAACTAGCCTCTGTCCTTGCTCATGTCACCCTTATCTGCAGGCATCAGAATGTGGTCTCTAAGCAGCTGTGCGTTTTGAGCTGCTGACTGGCCCTCTCCTAGAATCCCCTACGTCCCTGTCAGCCATTCATCCCTCATCGGGGGCAAGGGTCACATCTCAGGACATCAGAGACTATAGGGTTGTAATTTACCAGAACCAACATAGTTAAGTCTACCCTGTTCTCATCATTTCAGCTACCACATTGGGGTCCCTGGGTTAGTTCAGAACAGCTATTCTCAGGGTGATCCATCTGTACCTTCCCTGTCAGCTATGGTAAGCTTTGGAGAGCACCAGATAATTTTTTCTTTTATTATTAAAATGAAATGTGTTTATCTTTTTAAAAAAAATAGAAAATGCAGGTAAAGAATAAAAACTATCCCTAAATCTAACTCCCAGGTATATCCAGTTAGTATCTGGGAAGTATCCTTCTAGTCTTATGTATGTCGTTGTATGTGTAAACATGTTGTTTTATCACCTGCTGTTTTGCCTAATCTATATAGTATGGCTGTCACTCCACATCAGTAGATGTATTTTTGTAATATTATTTCTAATGCTAATATGTTTCTGTCTATGTACGTCCTATAATTGAACCAGTCCCTACTGTTAAACATTTAGGCAGCCGCCAGTATTATGAACGACATTGCAGTGAATATCTCTAATTAAATCTTTATATGCCCCTTAATCTTGGGCTAGAAGTAAAATTGCTGGATCAAAAGGTCTTCACATTTTTAAGACGTCAAACTGACCTCGAGAAAGGTTCTATCAGTTTTTTGCCCATCAGCAATTGTAAGGAAAGGCTCAGAAAGGCTCAGAACTCAGAACACTTTGCAGTTTGGGTTTGTTTGGTTTTGTAAGACTAATAAGAAATGCTTTTACTATGGGAAGGTCCAACAATATAATGTGTGCAAGACTCCACATCTCAAAAAATTAAAAATATTTTTAAGGTAGTCTATTTTAGCAGGACAGGAATACATACTTTATTAGTGTGGAGGGTGAACCCACAAGTCCAGACAACTTGATAATCATGTGTGAGGCTTTTCAGCTAAATACATGTTCATAGCCAATTCCAATTTCATTTTATTTCAGTTTTGGCTTTCAAAAAAAGTTTTATACAGCTAAGCAAGATGGGATGTTAGCTTTTGAATCTAAACAAATGGACAGGTTCCTTTTGGTTTTTTTCCCCCCTTAAATTTTACTTTTTTTTTTTTTCTTTTTTTTTCGGGGGGGGGTGGTGGAGAGGCTTTAGATTTATTTATTTTTAGAGAGCAGGGAAGGGAGGGAGAAAAGGGAAGGAAGAGAAACATCAATGTGTGAGACACACATTGATCAGCTGTCTCTTGCATGCCCCCAACTGGGGAGTTGGTGTACAACCCAGGCATGTGCTGTGACTGGGAATCGATCCAGCAAACTTTCAGTTCACAGGCCAGCGCTCAAACAATGGAGCCACACCAGTCACGGCCTTATTATGTTTTCCATTGTTATCTTCTCAACTAAAATGATCAGGAGTCAACCGTTGGAGAAATATTTCTAAGGTTTTCCTCAAAAATCAGTCAGTCCTGGATTTTTCTCCAGTTACCTGAAAAAATACTTTGAAGTGAATGAATAAATTGTTCTGAGTTGAAAAAATTCTTTCAGTTACATTAAATTTCGTTGTTGTTTTAGCTGTTGCAGTAGTTTGCATGGGAACTAATTTGAAGATGTGGGAAAGACTGCATGTATTTGAGTTTGAGTCGCAAATACCAGCCGTGCGCTTGGCTGGGGGGTGGTCGTTGCTGTGGGGGGATGACCTTCTCCTGCTTACCATGCTCTCTGGGGTGGCCGTTTTTTTAAAAGGGGATGAGAGGACTTCAAATTGTGGAAACCAAGCACCTTAGTGTCTCCTTTATTCCCACTACAAAGGAAATGAGCAGCCACATGATTCAGGCCCTTGATCTGAATGAGACTCAATCTCCCTGTGACTCATTATGTGATATTTTCAGGGAGACAGTAAAGAAGCTCCTCTTTCTGTAGATTTCTGATGCGATCTGACCATTCCTGCCCCTGAGTGGAATGCCCCACTGCTGCAGATGCCCCGCCACTGCTGGAGAGGATCGGCTCAGGTGATAGCAGTTGTCAGGCGCCAGAGACTGGGCTTCACCTGAGCAAATGCACATCGCTGTCCTACATGATGATCAGAGCAATTTACTCCAAATAAGAATCACAAGGCCTGGTATTGAGATTTCTCCACTCCCTACCCTCCTTTATGCAGCCTAGGCTGGGACTGCCTCTCTGGCAACCTTCCTTTGTAGCCCAAGGGTAGACAGTAGCATCTCTTGAGTGATTTGAGTCCAGAATTTAGGCCAATATAAGTGGAACGGGACCTTGAAGATAGTAATCAGCTATTTGAGTGTTTTACTATTAGCTAAGCATTATACTAAGCATTTCATATATGGTACAGCCTTTAATCCTGTATTGATCCCCATTCTATAAATAAGGGTGCTGAGGCTTATTATATTTTTATTGAATTTACTGGGGTGACACTGGTTAGCAAAATTATACAGGTTTCAGGTGTACAATTCCACAACACATCTGTGCACTGTATTATGTGTTTGCCACCGCAGTCAAGTCTCCATCCATCACTGTTCATTCCCCCGTGCCCGTCTCCAGCTCCCCCGACCTCCCTCCCCTCAGCAGTCACCACGCTGTTGTCCGTGTCCGTGAGTTTTTCTCTTTTTGTGTCTTTTTTGCTCATCCTCCCTACATCCCACCCCCTGACAGCTGTCAGCCTGCTCTCTGTCTATGAGTCAAGTCATGCCCAAGACCACGCTGCTGGCCAGTGCAGAGCCAGGTTCCCTCCCATCTCTGCTCTTGTCCTCCATACTGCATTTTCTCCTGGATGTTCTTACACAGCCACAGAGACTTTTTTTTGTGCTCTACTATATTCTGGGTATGGTGTGTTATTTTTAGCTATTATCTTAACTGGGAGATTTTATTTAACTCCCATTTTATTCATGAGGAAACTTCGTCTTTGGGCAGTGTCCCTAAATCAAGTCTAGGTCTGTCTGACTCCCAGACCTGGCAGGAGAGTGTGGCAGACGTTAGGAGCACAGGACCTAGATAGACAGCTTGGATTATGTCCTGGCTTCACCGCAAACCAACACTGGATCTTGGGCAAGTTGCTTAATCCCATTCGCTGTGCCTCGGTTTCCTCATCTGTAAAGTGGAGATGATGAATCCCCACCTCACAGGCTGTTGTGAGAATTAAGTGAAGTAATACATGTAAAGTACTCAGCATAGGGTTCAGCTTGGTGATAGATGCTTCATAAATGTACACTATGTTCATTACGCCTCCCTAACCCACCTTATTTTCAGAGTGTGTAAGAAAAACAATCCGAAGCAACCAGCCAAGTTCATGCCTCAGGCTTTCCTTGACCTTCAAATGATGAGTATCCTCTAAAGGCTGTGCTGGACAGAAAGCCAAAAACATCAGTTGCAACACTTGTAACTGTCCTGTGTTGGGCTGAATTCCTTGTGCTACACAAGGAGAAACTGAAGCCCTGGGAAGTTGAATGACTTGTTCAAGGCCATACCTCTTGTCTAGTTTCGTGATAGAGCTGGGACTAGATGGTGGGTTTTGTGCTATTTTTCCAGCATCACACTGACTCTCCTGAATAATAATGGCTGCTATTTAGTAAACAAATTCTCTGCAAGAGGTCAACAAGTATAACATGAAGAAAGGACATGGTAGTAGATTAAGTTCCCCTTAACTGCACAATCTCTTGAAATCTTTAATATGCTAGTGGCCTGTGATGCTGTTGGTGTAATAAGTGGCATTTCTAAAACCTTCCTGGAGGTACCTCAAGGGACTAGGACCCCAGGAAACACACTTGGGAAAGCACTTCCAGTTGAATTTGCTGAGAGTACCTTCTTTAAGTGTAAAGATCAGAGGGAAGGGAGAGGAACCAATCTAGTTAAAGGCTCTCATCTCATGACCTCTCCTCTACAGAGGTGTAGGCCAGGGCATCTGCTAAGAGAAGGCTGAGAATGAGATATAGGGTGGTTTACAGGAGAGAGGCAAAGACTAAATGCTTGTGGAGAATTGGGAGTTCTGTGTACATTTTGCGTTTGTTAGTCAGAAAATGTGCTTTATTTGATTCTTCCCTTTAATCCCCTCAAAAACTGAGCAAGGCAGATAGCCTTAACCCTTATTAAACATTCCTGTTACTACTGTTGTTGAAACTGAAGGATTTTAAGTAACTTGCTCAATACCACATAGATAGCTGTTTGGCAAATTCTAGCCCCATCTGCTTGTAAGATCTGAGCTCTCAACACTGCAGCCGACACCGTGACTTGTTCGTATTGTATAATTAATTTCTGTGGTGCCAGGCACTTAGTTGGCCTTCAGGAAATCTTGCCCCCCTCCCTCATAGTTGACACACGAGTGTGAAATACACACGTGAATGAGGTTGCAGTAGGGAATGCAGGCCTGAAAGTTCCATTGCAGGGGAGAAGTCTGGACTCATCCCTTGTATCCATCCCGCCAGCTGTTGGCAGGCTGTGTCAGGCCTGCATCCACTCCAGACTTGGCATTCCTCTCTCTCTGCTCCCCATTTAGCCTCTCTCATTGAGGCTCAAACTTATCCTGGTCTGTTGGGCCCTCCAGCTCTGCATCCCACTCCCCCACCCTCGGCTGTCATGCATACAGCTTTCCTTCCTTCTTTAAGCCCTTGTTCAGGTGAGGACACCAAGGAAGAGGAGGCTGAATAATGTGCCCAAGGTCACTAGAAGTGAGGGGAAGCTATCAGTAACTCTGAGTTTGAGGCAAATCCTGCTGAGCCTGTAAGTCCCATGAGGGCAGGCTGCTGGTCACTTTTTGTTTCAGCAGCACCAGAGACAATGCCAGGTACAGCAAATGCTTAGTAAAAACTTGAGACGGGATATCCCTCCTTCTAGGGGCTTTGTTTCTGTTCATGTCCTGACGCAGTCCTCTCTCCTCAGCACTGCACCCCAGGTGTTGCATACCAGCTCTCCAGCCCAACAAGCAGAAAACGAAGCCAAAGCCAGCTCTTCCATCTCAATCGACGAGTCACAGCCTACCACAAACATCCAAATACGGCTTGCCGATGGTGGGAGGCTGGTGCAGAAATTTAATCACAGCCACAGGTACCTTATGTTTTCTGGGCTAGCTTATTCTAGGAGGGTCCCAGAGAGCCCCACAAATGGGAGCAGGGGGGTGCCGTCCTTCCTCTTAACACCAGCGGTCACTCCATGTTTTCTACAAAGGAGGCAATGGGATGGGAAGGTATGCACGTCTGAAGTCTTTGGACCCTGCTTCCATTAAACGTTGCTAGTGATTGCTCACTTCCCTTCTGTGGGTCACACTCATCTGTAAAATTAGAGGACTGGATTCCTTAGGGGTTTTGCAGCCACCAAACTCTTTGTTCAAAGGAAATCTCATGCTAAAATCCAAGTGTAGAACAGATAAAATTTGAACAGCTGAGGCGAGAAGAGACAGCACCCACATCCCACCGACAGCTTTCTCCACCTCCTTCCCTCTGAAAGCACCTCCCTCTGAAAACCACTAGCTGTTAAAGTGACTTCCAGATCTGGCGTTTGAGAATTCTAGAATACCTGTTCTACTATGTGGGATCATGTGGCCTGGATCAAAGCAAACTATGCCTCCCCCATTTGAACGATGAAGAAACCCAGGCACAGAGTGATGAAGTGATTAGCGGGCGAGGATTGTTGCTAGTGAAGATATTTGGCAGTTCCTTTTTCTAGAGCAGCAGTGTCTAAATTTCATCAGTTATAGGCCAGGTAAACCAGAACCCACACATGGGGCTCAATGAATGGCTTGGCAGTCTTTGCGTGTTGACATGGTTCACATGTTGGATAAGCTGTGAAACAGCCCCAGGAGTACATGGAGGCTTTGGTCCAACATTTCTTCAGTAGGAACCATTTACCCGTTTATCAGGTGCTTTTCTGTTAAGGGAGTGAGTCCATCTCGCTGGTCTGAGTTCTTTGGCTCAGTTTCACTTCACTCACTAACTCCAGCCTTTCAGCGTGAGTGCTGCTCACTCCCCAGGGTGGACAGCGCATCCCAAATGCCTGCTGGCTGGTGGGTGGCAGGATGCCGTTTTCTAACAGTCTCAGACTCTATCATGGATGTCTGGGCCCTTAGGTGTAGCAAATGGTGGGTTGCATAAATTTTAAGGGTTGGGGGCAGAAAGAAATACCTATTTAAGTGCCCTAGGGAAAAGGCTGTCTGTCTGAGATGACTCCATTCTCATGATGACCAGGTTCAGGACACAGGCAGTGTCTAGACGAGGGATTCCTGGCAGTTAGGCATTGCTGACCTTTGGTTATTCTTCTCACTAATAGTTTTAGTAATTTACAGAAGAGATGTATTTGCTACCCTTGTGGAATTCATGTTCTACAGGAGGAAACAGACATTAATCATATCCCAGAATTGTTTGATTACAAACTTGAGGAGCATCACGGAAGCAGGATCAGGGGATGGAGACCAGGAACTTGGGAAGGCTGCCCTGTGGATGCAGCATTCGAGCCGAGGCCTAAGGCTTGATTAGGATTACAGGGAAAGGATCAGACAGAGGAGCCTTCTAGAAGGAGGGACTCAAATGTAGGCAGGGAGCATGGTGTGATGGAGAACTGAAAGGAGAACAAGGGGAAGGACAGTGTTGTAAAATTAGGCCTTGGGACCACAGTAAGGAGGCAGGTGTTTCTCCTAAAGAAAATGGGAACAACCCTGAAGGGTTTTAGGCGAGGGAGTGACCTGATCTGTTGTGCTTCCAAAGGAGAGCTTCGGCTGCTTGAGTACAGGGCCAGGGGAGGGGACTTGGGGGGTGTGGTGTAGCCTTCCACAGGGTGGGGTTTGTGGGCAGCAGAGAAGGGCAACTGCTCACCCACCTCCCACTCACACCCCTGCTCCACCAGGATCAGCGACATTCGACTCTTCATTGTGGATGCCCGGCCAGCCATGGCTGCCACCAGCTTTGTCCTCATGACTACCTTCCCGAACAAAGAGCTGGCCGATGAGAACCAGACCCTTAAGGAAGCCAACCTGCTCAACGCCGTCATCGTGCAGCGGTTAACATAACCGCCTGGCCTTGCCGGGCGGCCTCGCCTTCCTCCTGTGCTCCCCACGGCCAGCTGCCCCGTGGGGACCGCCCCTCAAGCCCCTTCTTGAACACCCAGCAGTCCAGTGCCACGTCTCCTCCGTAGCTCTGGGTTCTTAGATCTCAGTTGGACATTTGTTTTCTCTTTAGTTGCATTTCCTGGGTTTTTGTGACGATCAATGGACTTTAAAGAAAAAAATAAAAACAACCAAAAAAATGGAAGGAATATCACCAGCATGTTATACAGAACCTCTCCCACTGAAGTAGGCTTTGATTGCTTTAAAGTCATTTACCTCCAGGGCGTGCATAAAAATTGCTTGTGGCACACAATACCTATCTACTACGTGTGTCCACCTGCCACCCCCATGATGACAACTGGAGGATTTCCCCCTTTATAAGGAAGGAAGTGGGGGACTTACAGAAAGAGGCTTTGCAGCCACTTACTCCCATAGGAATAAATCTCTGCCCAGATGAAAACAGGCAGCAATGAGAGTCCCCTGAGGTGTGAGGTCAGAGCTAGATGCACATGATCCCTTCAGGTGAAAAATACTTCCCTGGGCTCCTTTCACTCAAACCTGGGAAATTCGAGTTTCCAGGCCTGGGCCAGTTGAGATTCTAGTGACACCTGCCAGTGCCAGCCCCAGCCCTTTCCTCCCTCATCACCTAGTGATTCTCAGTTGCTCTGTCATGGGTTTACTCATGTGCAGAAATGTGTACCTAAGGAATAGGTGGGGTAGCTTTTCATTGGGTAACGGCTCCTGCCAACCTGAGTGAGTTAGGGTATCTTGGTGAGAAACAATCAAGGTATCATTGAGCTATTCAATAACACATGAAAAATGTTGAAGGAGCGGGGGTTCCTGTGCTACCAGCACTTTTTACTTTGTTAGCATTTGCAGGAGGCCTGTACTGAGTAAATTTTGGCAGTAAGAGTAAGGTCTGTGCTTGGCTTTGGTGTGCAAATCTGCCTCACAGTTGTTCTCTGCCCTGCTGAGTTCCAACTTACAGCAATTCGGGCCGCCTGGTAGAGACCCCCTCCCCCATAAATAAGTGCTTTTTGTGTGTGTGTGCAAGTTTGGGAGAGGAGGATCACTGGGATCTTGGAAGCCTTTCCACCTCTCTATTAAGTGAACCACTGACTTAGAATCAACACTGACTCAGAATCTCCTGGTTTTGAATCATAACGTGCCTCAGTCCTCTTTCCAAGCAGCCCTCACCAATCACTCCTGCTTCACATCCTGCAACAAGCCAAGAACCAACACTACTTATACCCAGAGTTGGGGAACTCCTTGGATTTCAACCAAGAGCCATCTTGAAAAAGGGACACAGCTTGGTGCTTCTGATCCCAAACTGGCAGGGGCCTGCCAGGGCTGCAGCATCTGCCACAAGCGTGTCCTCCAGCAGGTCGCAGCAACTGTGGAAACAATGCAGGTCTGGAAAAGCTGTAAATTATTGTCACCTTGACCATTAAAAACCAGAATAAGGACAGTGGAGTTTGATACTTTCTGATGGATTGCTTTGAAGAGTTTATGTAATAACAGCAGCTATTGTAAGTACTTCAGTGCCTCACAATGGTCCCATTTCACAGTGCAAAACCTAAAGCCCAGCTCTCGCACAGCTGGGTAAGTGGTAAGGTCTGCCTGCTTCCAAAGCCCGTGCTCTTAATTGCCATGCCCTGTGTATATACACTTTGTCCCCAGCCCCAGCCTTGCACCCATACACTCAACCCCCTCCCACCCCACTTCAGGGTTGCTCCTTAAGTTATTAGTACACACCAGAAGAGATCACAAAAACACCACTTACAACCTGCACGTCTAGAAAATCACAAAGGCCTGTTGGGATTCCCACCCACCACGGTTAAGACGAGCTGGGTGTGTCCGGCCCAAGGTCAGAGGGCATGTCTGCTGTGGAGCCAGGCATCTCACTGGCACTGCATCCAGTCTGGGTGAGGACGTTTTCGGTCCTGGTCCTCTCTGGGTGGTCCGGAGAGAAAGCGTTCATCCACCCAGATCGGCTTTCACAGATTTTCCTTTGTTTTAGAAAGCATACTCAGCCACTGGTTCTGGGGCTTCTGAATTCAGGGCATTCATCCTCAGCTGAGGCATTTTGTTAGTTGGTGGACACATTTTGGATCCTCTCAAAAATTGCTTGGCAGATAAGGGAACCTCCTGGAGTTAAATAGGCCAGGCCAAGAGCATAGTGCAATGTATGGGACATGTCCTAATGGAAAGAGCCAGAATTTACAGTGACAAAGGCAAATTAGTTGTGATGATGCCCTTTCTAAGAAGCTCAGCTAAACTAGTCCCTCTTTTAGTGTCCCTGCTTGGTCTTGTAAACCACACCATGCCAAACAACCTTATAGGTATAGTTGGGGCATATCTGGTCGCTTCTTCAGAAGATGGCCACTGGAGGAGGCCGACGTGTGCAGCAGGAGAGAAGCATAACTTCGTGGCTTTGAGTGGCATTGCCAAAGCACCCCCAGAGGGGCAATGTCCTTTTGTGTGCCCACCAGCAGTTCAAAGCATGTGGGTCACCACCAGGAACTCTTTAAAGCTGACTGAGCTTATTCCATGGAAGCAACTGGTACAGAAGTGTGGGTTCCCTGCTGCTCTGTAGCCCAACCACTAGGATTTTCAGAAGAACTGCTGTCAGGACTTCTCCCTTCCAGGGCCAAATAAAAGAAGTTCTTTTAAAATAGGTTTACATCTGTGTCATGGTCTGTAGCTGTGGCCTCCCATTCCCACCCCCCACACACTCCCAGGTCCACTCTTTTCTCAGGCCAGGACAGAGAAGCAGAGCAGAAAACACATTGTTGACTTCTAGTGTCCAATCTGGTCCAGGCTGAGCTGTGTGGCTGCATCTCTCCTCACCGCGCGTCCAGTCTGTTGACAAGTTCCCAAGGTCCTCCTGCTAATGCATCCCAAACCCAGCCCCTCATCATCCCTCCCCCACAATCTCCCAGGTCCAGCCTCCACCATCTCTGCCATTGACAACTGCAGTGACCTCATTGGTCCCTGAAAACCCTATAGGACCTGGCCCCCGCCCATCACTATCCATTTGTCCTGCTTTATTTTCCTTATTCTACCTCCATATCGTGCACTACATACTCTCTCTGTGTGTCGTTCCTTTGTCCCCCCACGAAGGCAGGGGGGTTTTCTTCACTCTGTAGTCACTGAACACTTGACACAGTGCCTAACACATACTAGGTCTTCAACAAATGACTAGTTGGATGGACCTGTGAAGTGGAGATAAGACCTGCCTATCTAAAGGATAAAGGCAATGATGCTTAAAGTGCCCCATGTAATATTGCTTGGGTGACTGCAGTTACTCCCTTCCTCCCAAAGCAGGCTCTCATTCAGCCACAGGAAGGCATCGTTCTGAAGGGCACTTGTAGCTTCCAGCAAGGTTTCCAGGTTCTTGCAGCAAAGACATTGAGAGGGTGGAGCTAAAAGCAGATGTGTATGTGGGATGGGAGAGCAGGGCCCTTTTCCCCACCCTGCCAGGACTAGACATGGGCCAGTTACCCTCCATCTTGAGCATCTGAGACCCTCAATGCTAGGACCAGGTCTTTGATTCTACCAGTGATAGCAGCTGCCATTGTTTGATCACAACTTTGTGCTAGGCCTTACCTCGTGTAGTTTGGCAACAACCCAAAGGTACCATGGTTAGCTCATTTTATGGAGGGAGACACCGGCTTAACATGGTGAAGGGACTAAACTGAAGTTACACACCAAGTAAAAGGGAGAACCAAGATTTAAATCCCTGGCTGCCTGAACCCTTGGCTTTAGGAGGAGTTAGGTCAAGGGCCAAGCTATTGTAACTTCTGCCGGGTGGTTTCAATGAGGGCCCTTGGGGCCTGTTTGTACAAGGGGATGGACACAAGGAAATGAGTGATTCACAAGGAAACCAATGTAGCCTCATTATGAAACCTCAAATACATCCCTTTCTTAGAAATGGTTAGAGGATCCCATAATAAGGTGCTTATTTCCAAGTAGTCACAAGATGAAATGCACCTTACTACATGCAAAACTACCTACACCACCTCCTCCACCATCTCTGCCATCTTCCACCACATCATCCCCTAAGCATCCACTCTGCCGCCGTCACCTTCACCACCATCCCCACAATTACCAGCACCTCTGTTTCCATGGCCACCACCACCGTCTCCACAATCTCCACCATCTTCTCTTAGGACACTCCAGGCTCACTAACCTGCCCCCTTCCAGCCTCCTTTGCCAGATCTGTGTTTGGTTTTTTTGTTTGTCTGGTTGGGAGTGGGGTTGTTTTATTTTTTTTAGCACTTTATTACTTTCTATCACAACAAGATGCTCCAGACTCTTCTTGTATGTTTCCTACTCCAGTTTAAGAATCAGCCATTTTTCCAAAGAGCTCTGTTTTACTTAATTGGAGAATTGTATGAGAAACCAAGATCTGGCCACTAGGTAAGCTCATTGCTCTTTGAGTATTTTTCTTTTAGGCCATCTAAGCTAACAGAGCAAAGAAATACTCATACATGCCTGTATATTAACCCAAAATATACACATATCCATAAATATTTCTATATGTAACCATTTGTATCTATATTAAATGAGTTCTTATGAAAGGCTTTTTTAATAATGTCTATTTCATCATTGAGATTTTCTTTTTCCTTTGTTTCAAGAGATTTGTAATTGATAGCTGAATACTTCCCGTATTTGGTGAAAGATATAAATCTACACATTCAGGGAGTTAAGTGAACCACAAACAGGATAAAACCAAAGAAATCCTAAGCTCTATTTTTGAGATTTCAGAGCTCCAAGGAAGGGATCACTTCTACCGTCATCAGGGATTCTTACTGAGACACAAATGACTCTCTGTCTCCATTATAAACCATAAAAATAATGCACAGAGTAAAAATAAATCAGTTGAGAATGATATTACATAAAAAGTCAAATTTCATGATCTTTCTTTCAGTCCCACCTCTTAGAGTCACTCACTATTTCTGTTTTAAGTTCTTTTGGTTCCTAAATGGCAATTTTAAAAGATTTGAACATTTAACATTTTTAATTAGTATCTAAGCTTAAAATAAATCAATTTTTTGAAAAAGTTAATAACTAGGCTATGTATGAACATAGACTCAAAACTAAGTTGGAAAGAAAGGCTCTCAGTTACTTAAAAAAATCAAACAAATGTTTAATTGGTGTCCCTTGTGTTGCACAGCACACATCAGTCCTGGCATCCAATTCATCTTAGGCCTGGGCTACATATCACCACTGGTCGCTGAAATGATAAGTCACATGTTTTCTTCCCTCAAAGCAGCGAAGAAGAGGTAGTGCCAACATGAGGTCCTTGGTGAACTCCCACAGGAAAACGTAACCAAAGTCTTACATCTGTGGGTTGGGATGAATACTGTCTCAAAGGCAGGTCTGTGTTTTGAACTGATGCCATGAGAGAGCCACCAGATCACAATGAAAGTGAGGGAAGCCAAATCTGCTGGGCTTCAAGGAAGACTGGACCCCGGAACTCTCTGCAGTCTGACTTTCTTTAGGTGGTACTGGCAGTGGTGGTGGTGGTAGGGCTGTATGTGTGTGTGGGGGGGCCAGTGTCTGTCAACTGTTGGGACTCCCAACCTTTTGGGGGACTAATATCTATTTTGCCCTTCTTCTATAGGCACAGAACTCCTATTTTTTCATTTGACACACAGCCACCCAGAATGAAGCTGTGTTTCCCAGCCTCCCGTGCAGGTGCATTTGGCCATGCAAATAGGTTGTAGCCAGTGAGGCATGAAGAAAAGAGATGTAGGCAACTTCTAGGTCATGCACTTAAAGGGGATGGGATATGCTTTCACATTCCCCCTTTCCACTGTTTGGAATGCAAGTATGTTGGAGTCAGCTTGGACCACATAGAGGAGGGTAGGATCCGAAGGATGGAGAGGCACAAGTAGAAGGAACATGAGTCTCTGGAGAGCCTGGAAGTCAAGCTGTCCTGCTGCCTCTGGACTGTTAAAGAAGACAGCAACTTCAGTCACAAGGTCCCTGAGATTCTAGGGAAGGGGGCACAGATGTTGAGAAGAGTGTCAAATGACTCTGAAGTCATGTTTAAAGCACCTGAGGAGCACATGCAGGAAGACCCAGGGAAGGATTAGTTCACATCTACCTCCCTCAGGTCCCAGGGCCTCACAACGCTCCCTTCCGGCAACAATGCCTCCCAGAGTTCCTCCTGCCTCCGACAGCCCAGCACACAGAGCAGGTTAACTCCTTCAGACCTTGGCTAAACCTGGCTACCTCAGGGAAACAGCTCACTACACTTCAGGCTAAGTTGGGCATCTGTTACGTCTCTCAGAGCATAACGCCATGGGTCTGTTTTTCACAATACTCATAGATTTGAAGCTTTACATTTATTGTGTGGTTACTGGTAATCTCTCCTTCACCAGAATGTAAGTTCTGTGAGGTCAGGGACTGAGTCTATCTCTTTCACTGCTGTTTCCCCAGCACCTAGCACAATGCATGGCATATAGCAGATGCTCAATAAGAATATATGTAATTTATGAATGAATGTGTGAATAAATCCAGTGTAGTAATGACTACTCCTCCAACACAGAAAAGCAGAGCTCATTATCTTGAACCATTTATTAAACACTAACATGAAAGCACATGTGCGCTGACCTCTCACAATCACCTTTTTACAGGATGTGTGTATACTTATAAGTGTGAAACTGCTGAAAGTCACCCAATCACCGGCGGACCCCAAAATAGTCTTCCCATTTTTCAGATGCGGAAACTTGGTTAAAGAGATGCCGGCCTGGCTGGACGCTACGAGAAAATAAGAAGCGGGGAGGGTGGAGAAATACTGCCATCAAACAGTAGCCCTCGCAGGGCTCAGCGCTTCCGGGCTTCCGGTTCCCGGGCTCCGAGGCCCCGGCTCCGGGACGTGCGCGCCGTGTGGAGCGCGCACGTAGGGCGGGCCGTGCGGGGGCGCGCGCGTGCGCAGGCGTCGCTCGGAGGGACGAGGCAAAGCAGAGCAACCAGCGCCAGGTCTGGTGTTGGTCCACACCGCCCCTCGCGCCGCCCGCCGGTCCCGCGTCCGCGTCCGCCTCCGCCGCTGCCGCTGCCGCCGCCGCCGCAATGGGAGTGCAGGTGGAGACCATCTCCCCAGGAGACGGTGAGTAGGCGCCTTCGACGGTGCTGGGGCCCCCGCTGCCGTGCGCATCCGCTCCCCTCACCCGTCTGTCTGTCTTCTCAGGGCGCACCTTCCCGAAGCGCGGCCAGACCTGCGTGGTGCACTACACGGGTGAGTCGCCGGGCCCGCGGGGTGGGGGGCTCCGACCCGGGCGCAGCCTGAGGGCAAAGGCCCGGGGCGTGGCGGCGGCGAGGCCCGCGTGGCCCGAGGCTCAGGCCTGGGCGGTGGCAGCGCCCCCGAGGGGGCAGCCTCGGGCCTGCGGAACCCGCCACCGTCTGAGCCGGCGCTTGCGAGCGCTGACCTCGGGCCCGGTGTTCCCTCGTCCTCCACAAGCAATTTCGTGCCTCAGACGCTGCCCTTATACCCACTGCACAGATGAGGAAACTGAGGCTTGAGGAGGCGAAGTCACTTGCCCAAGGTCGCGCTCAACAATTGGCAGAGCCCCGGCCAGGGACCATCGGAAAGGATTTGCACCATTTCTGTGTCCTGGTTGACACCCTACACTCCCCACCCCCGCCCTGCTCTGGCCCTCCCTTCGATGGAGATAAGGAGGGCGAGGTACTTCCCAGTGTGCGGAGCTGCCTCTTCCCCCCGGGAAGTCGGGAAGTCGGGCTTCAGTCGCCCCGCCGCGGGTGGAGCCGGTGGAGAAGCGCCCCAGTTCCTAAGTCATTGCTTTGACCCGGGCTGGCCACGGTGAAGCTGGATCTGCACGGTCTTTCATCTCTCTTTACTTTCGAGACTCTTACACATCCAAGCTTCAGTGGCGGTGGCGGCTCAGGCTGACAGAACGTG